ATTGGGCATCCATTGTGACATGTCCTTCCTCTACACTGAAGCCAGCTCTGGGACCCCATCATGTGACTGGATAGAAGCGGTCTCAACATAGGTAAGTATAGAGGTCTTTCCTTTACAAGGTGGTTAAAATAGACTTCGACTGGGGCTGGGAGCAGATTTAGGATTAAATAGTATTTGACTGGAATTACACTTTAAGGTTCAGTCCAAACACAAGTTTAAACTGAACCTTGGCTGTTGAGGTGAATACTCGAACAAATGCCATGCATAATGTTGGTATTACTTGCGCTATAATACAGGACAGATTCCTGCTGCCAATGGAATGGTTATTAAGGATACCGGCAGGTGCTGGTACCACCGAGTCTTAGAAATCAGTGACATCACCTGGCCCCTTTCACTTTCATGGCCAGGGATCCCCTGTCATGTAAGCAAAGATGCTAGGGAAAGAATACATTTTAACCCCTTCTCGCCGTGCATATGCATATATGTGTTTCTACATGGCGCACTACCAGCATAGAGACTGGGGTCTCACTGGTCACGTAGTAATACCTGATTGGCTATCATGGTGATCAGTCATTGGGAAGCCTGCTCCTGTATTTTCTCATTATACAGCCAGGTCCATAAATATTGGGACATCAACACAATTCTAACATTTTTGGCTCTATACACCACCACAATGGATTTGAAATGAAGCGAACAAGATGTGCTTTAACTGCAGACTGTCAGCTTTAATTTGAGGGTATTTACATCCAAATCAGGTGTATAGAGCCAAAAATGTTAGAATTGTGTCGATGTCCCAATATTTATGGACCTGACTGTATCTCTCTCTTTCTTCTTGAAGAGGGGAAAAAAAACAAGAGTGTGTGTAAAATAATAAGAATAAATAAAATACCTAGATCAAGGTTTGAGCTAGGTCAGGGCTAGGGTTAGTGTTTAGGTCAAGGTCAGGGTCAGTACTTTTTTTCAGCAGGATTGGAAACTTTTTTTTTTTTAATTAGTATCAGTGTCAGTTAGTGTCAGTGTGTTTTATGTACGATAAAAAAAAGCAAAATGTGCACTATTGTTTTCTTCACTGTACTACGGGTACAAACAACAAATAACATACACATATGTGGTAAGAGGAGGGGCCAGATGACATCACAACGCTTGCTAACAAACACCAATTCACTGTCACAGCAGATGAGTAGAAGAGATCTGTGTATGTTGTTGTACCAATGTTTTTATATGCGCATTATATCTGGTGTGATTCAGCACCTTACAAATGTGAGTGGCCACTTTATAAGTTTTAATAAAATAGAGTTGTTTTAAGGATAGAGCAATATTGTGTTTCCTATCTTTCTCATCATATATGTGGACTGGACTGGAGGAGGAGAGATTGAGAGTGGTGGCTTCTGGAGGAAGAATCTGTACTCTGGCCACATATACCAGTACATGTCCGCTTCTTGGGACATACAGTTGCAAGAAAAAGTATGTGAACCCCTTGGGATTACGTGGAGTTTTGCATGAATTGGGCATAAAATGTGCTCTGAACGTCATCTAAGTCACAACAATAGAAGAACACAGTCTGCTGAACATAATACTACACAAACATTAGATGTTGCCATGGTTTATTGCACATAACATGTAAACATTCACAGTGCAGGGAGGAAAAAGTATGTGAGGCCCTAGCTTAATGACTTCTCCCAGAGCTAATTGGAGCCAGGAGTGAGCCAACCTTGACTCCAATCAGTGTGATGATATTGGATGTGTTGCTGACAGCTGTCCTGCCCTTAAAAAAACACACACCTGTTTTGGGTTTACTGGTTTCAAGAAGCACTGTCTGATGTGAACCATGCCTCGCAGAAAAGAGCTCTCAGAAGACCTACGATCAAGAATTGTTGACTTGCATGAAGCTGGAAAGGATTACAAAAGTATCTCCAAAAGTCTTGATGTTCATGTGTCCACGGTAAGACAGACTGTCTACAAATGCAGAAAGTTTAGCACTGTTGCTACTCTCCCTAGGCGTGGTCGTCCTGTAAAAATGACTGCAAGAGCACAGCGCAGAATGCTGCATGAGGTAAAGAAGAATCCCAGAGTGTCAGCTAAATAGCTACAGAAATCTCTGGCACATGCTAACATTTTTGTTGACACATCTACAATAAGGAAAACTTTAAACAAGAATGGAGTACATGGGAGGACACCACGGAGGAAGCCATTGCTGTCCAAAAAGAATATTGCAGCACGTTTGAAGTTTGCAAAAGAGCACCTGGATGTTCCACAGCACTACTGGCAAAATATACTGTGGACAGATGAAACCAAGATTGAGTTGTTTGGGAAGAACACACAACACTATGTGTGGAGAAAAAAAAGGCACAGCACACCAACATCAAAACCTCATCCCCACTGTAAAACATGGCGGAGGGAGCATCTTGGTTTGGGGCTGCTTTGCTGCCTCAGGGCCTGGACGGATTGTTGTCATTGATGGGAAAATGAATTCCAGAGTTTATCAAGACATTTTGCAGGAAAACGTACGACCATCTTTCCGCCAACTGAAGCTCCGCAGAGGATGGGTGATGCAACAGGACAATGACCCAAAGCATACAAGTAATTCAACAAAACAATGGCTGCAACAGCACAGAATACGCCTTCTGGAGTGGCCCAGTCAGAGTCCTGACCTCAACCCGATTGAAATGCTGTGGCATGACCTTAAGAGAGCGATTCACACCAGACATCTCAAGAATATTGCTACACTGAAACAGTTTTGTGAAGAAGAGTGGTCCAAAATGACTCCAGATCGTTGTGCAGGTCTGATCTGCAACTACAGGAAACGTTTGGTTGAGGTTATTGCTACCAAAGGAGGGTCAACCAGTTATTAAGTCCAAAGGTTCACATACTTTTTCCTCCCTGCACTGTGAATGTTTACATGTTATGTGCAATTAAATCATGGCAACATCTAATGTTTGTGTAGTATTATGTTCAGCAGACTGTGTTCTTCTATTGTTGTGACTTAGATGACGTTCAGAGCACATTTTATGCCCAATTCATGCAAACCTCCACGTAATCCCAAGGGGTTCACATACTTTTTCTTGCAACTGTATGCGATTTTTTGACCTGACATGATGTGAGGTCAAAAACTCCAGTTGAGGGCACATCTGGTGGTTATTTGGTGGAGTATTTAGTTTATATGAAGACAGACGCTTGAATAAGTGAATAAGTGATACTCATTCAAGAAATCACTTATTCAAGATGAAGATATCACTATTGAGAGACTTTTGTATTGATTCATGTTCACTTTAATTGATAGATGTGCACTATATATTTTGCATTTCTTTTGATTTATATTATTTATAGGAAAGCTCTGCACTGTATAATTATACTTAACATACACATATGTGGTATCACTGTAATCGTCAGGAGCAAGAGAATTTATTTTTGGGTCGTTCTTTGGTGGCAGGTTATGGTTAACCGCTACATTATTATTATTTGCTTTTTTTTTACTATTTCGGGCCAGTTTTCCTTTGATAATATAAAAAACCAGGAGCTATCCATTACCGTTTACCATCAAATGAAAGCCCAATTTGTCCTGAAAAAAAACAAGGAACTGTATAATCCACCTGGATACGCAAAGTAGATGTGATGATATGTACAGTTTTACTAACACATGTCACAGTTTCATAATTGTGCTTAGGCATTAACATTTGCTTTTACTCTTAGGCAGGTAGGAGTTAAGGAGTACTCCATGAGAAAAAAGAATGAATTGTTTTCCACCCTCCATGCCATTTGGTTGGTAATCCCTTGCTCTATTAGTCTAGGAAATGGCCAGAACTATTTTTTTAATTTTTGCTCCCATTCTATGGGGCTCAAATTCAGCACACAAACTTTTCTTATGTTCACCAAACATATGCTCAAATCAAACCCAGATGTGTCAGTTTTAATTTTTAGTAGCTAAACAGAGCAGTTGGAGAAATGAAGGAAAGGTAAGTACTGTATACAGGTGACTTGTAGTAGCAGTTTAGTGCTCATGATCACAGATAGTGATACATGTTGTGCAATTAATTACTACTACATACCGTACTACCACATTTTATTTTTGTACCGTACACCTAAGGGCGGGGCCGTGGATAAGGGGGTATCCTCCTGTATGGGACCAGGCCAGCAGGGGGGCCCAGGCAGCTGGGTGAATCAGATGTGTGGATGGGTAGTTGGCATGGGGGAGGGGGGGGGGCAATTACTGGAAACAATCCCCTGTATGGCCCTTCTCTGCAGCAGCTGAAAGCTGGCTTCTTCTCCTCTCCCTCCCACTGGCTTTCAGCTGCAGCAGAGAGAGAGCCATACAGGGGATCAGTTCCAGTATTTGCCCTCCTGGTGCACCCATCACCCTCCCTGTGCACCATATGTTTCCCCCTGCTGCCCAGGCCCCCCTGTGTTCCCCCACCCCTGCAGTGCTGCTGGCTTCCCTCCTCTCCTTCCCACCGATAGCTGCAAGCACACAGGATGGAGAATGGGGGAAGGGTCCAGTAAATATGTCACATTTACCAGCCCCTTCCTTTCCTGAATAAACACAATGAGAAATCAGTAACCGATCACCATTCATTAAATCTGAAGCATAGTAAACAGTTTTTTTCTTGGGGGGCCCTATCAGGTTGGCTTTTTATGGGGCCCTGTGGTTTCTAACAGCAGCCCTGCCTAAGGGAGCCATTGACTGCTGCTCTTATGTTTTATTCTTTAGAGATTTTATTAGAATGACTGAGCTACTAAAAGTCACTTATGTGCTCCTGCAATAGAATCTTGTACATATGCATTTCAAAGATGGTATCACAAACACCAAAATGATTGAAATATATTAACCTTATGTAATGCACTTTTTACCTACAAATTCCGTGTGTTTTTTTTTTATTAGTTTAGCATAAGCAATAGTGTTACTTGTATTCTTTCCCTTGGTGTATTATAACATGGTTCTTATAATAGCTATACAAGTGTCATTTCAGAACCTGCAAGCAAAGAGTAAAATCAAACATGTAAGGTCTTTAACCCCTTCACATCTAAGGGTAAAACAAATCTAAATGTCTAAGCACAATGTTGCAACGTTGACATGTGTTAGTAAAACCGTACATATCAGCACAACTACTTTGTATATCCAGGTGAATTATACCTTGTTGTTTTCAGGACAAATTGGTGGTAAATGGTAATGGATATCTCCTCCTGATTTTTTTTTTTTATTATCAAAGGAAAACTAACAATAGTAAAAAACCCCATTTTTTTTATGTAGCTGTGTGTTTCTTGTTACTACCATAACCTACCATCAAAGAACAACCCAAAATAAATGATCCTGCTCTTGATGATCGCAGCGATGCCATATATGTGTATGTTATTTGTTGTTTGTACACGAAGTACAGCCCAGAAACAATAGTGCGCATTTGGTTTTTTTTTAAATCCTGGCCTTTAATCCTGACCTTTTGACCCTGACCTTTGACCCTGACCTTGAAAATGCTAAGCCTGGCACTAAACTAGATAAAACCTTGAGCTAGGTATTTTTTCTTTATTTTTTATTTTTTTTTTTATATTTATTTATTTATCTTTTTTTTTTAACAAACATTTTTTTTCCCTCTATGCTAGGAGTTAGAGAGATACAATGTATCTCTCTCCTCCATTCATAGAGAGAGAAAAAAAACAAGGGGACCGGGCTGTACAGTGACTGATCACTGTGATAGCCAATCAGAGGCTATTACAGCGATCATGTGACCCGGAATCGGGTGTCCCAGGGTCCCGATCATTAAAACGGGACCCGGGGCTCTCAGTAACAACGCAGTCTTTGTGCTGGAAGCTGTGTGGCGCAGCTCAGCAGAAAGACAGGTACGCAAATATGTGGCCCCATGGAAAAAAGCCCGGTTGTGTGACGCCGGCGTCAAGGGGTTAAAGGACAGCTCCAGTAGACATCTCTGGAACAGACAGTGGGAGATGAATGTAATGTATTAGTTATATTTACCTCCATGCTGTCCTTTCTCAGATACAGGTTAACCTGGTGGGGTTACAGGCCAACGACTTGGAACAGCAATGGAATAAGTTCAGAGGACACAGGGCAGTAATCTAGGCCCAGTTAGGGGAAAGCAAGAATGAAGCCCAGGGTCACAGGGCAATGATTCAGGCTCAGCAGGGGGCAAATAGCAACATGATAGCGAGGGAAGAAACAGCTCACTGCTATCCTGTGCCCTTTCACCCACACATAGATCCTGCCACTCCTTTGTCACATGAACTTGTTAAAATTCATAAATGATGGAACCTATGTTAACATTGGTGGATACTTAACTATACTTTGGCAAAACATGTTATATTTTACTCTGCTAACCTCTAAAATGGCTATCAATTTACAGATTTTTTTTAAAGTGGACCCTTAACCAGGGCGGACTGAACAACTCATGGGGCCCCCGGGTAATAGGGATCATGGGGCCCCTGTGTCCTTGCCCAAACTCAAAAAAGCCTATGAAAAAAGATACCATCTCATGGCATCTCATGGGCCCCCCTACTGACCCCGGGCCCTCGGGCAGTGCCCGAGTTTCCAAATGGTCAGCTCGCCCCTGCCCTTAACTTTTAAAAACAAAAAATAAGTGTGAGCAACAGCAGTCACACAAATTTTGGTTCTATGGATACTAGCATTTTTTTAAAGCTCCTAAAAGCTATTATCAGAAATTGTTTTCCTGCTCCTAGAAGCTATATAATGTTATCTCATGTTTCCATACACAATAGTTTAGGCTATTAGCATTTTTTGAGCTTTGGCATCTTGTAGCAGAAAAAAAATAGCTTTTGTAGTTTTTTGGAGGTTTTTTCCAGCAGAACGAAATGCTAAATGCTCCTAGATGCTGCTAAACGCTACTAAAATGCTACTAAAAAAACACACTATTACCATCGTTTTTATCCAGCATTTTTTCTAGCATTTTTTGAGCTTAAAAAATGCTAGTGTGCATGGCGCCTTATTGTTTTCTTGCATGCAATCTGGCAATGGGGAGACCTTGCCCCTAGAACCAATAAGTAGACAGGCATAGCTTTGATGTCTGAGTCAGCCTCATGTGAGGAGAAATTTATACTCTTGGTGTTAAAAAACCCTTTTAGCACTCTCACATATTGTAACTACTATATATGCTATGTGACTGATTCTGCTCCCTAAGGCTACTTTCACACTGATCCGCTACAAAAAACGCATAGGTGTTTTTACTGCGTTTTTCTGCATTTTTACTGCATTTTTGCAGGACACATGACTTAAAACTGCACCAAAAAAGCTTTTCAAAGGCGCATTTCAGGCATTTTCCATTGATTTCAATGGGAAAAGGCGTTTTTGGGTGTTTTTTAAACTCCCTAAACATGCCCCAAAGATGCTGCAAGCAGGAGTTTTTACACTGCACCTCAAGCGCAACGCCTCAGTGGGAAAACATACATAGATATACATTCAAATACATAGGGAAGCAGTTTTCTTGAGCTTTTCAGGCACTTTTTTTAATGCAAAAACTCCTCACTGTGAAAGTAGCCTTAGTTTTCTGTTATCGGCACCAATCATTTTGATTCTATTGCCATTTTAGGTTCTACTAATGAAGAAATGGAACAGGTGGCTCCAGGCCTCCTCCAGTGGAAAGGAGTCCTTCCAGTGAGAAAGATTTGCAGAAATCTGTACATAAAAAACTTTGATTCTGACATTTCTACATAGAGGCAAAAACACAAATCTGAGAACTTGTTCTCTAGTGTACTCAGCGCTATCATAAAATATTGGCCTCCTGAAATACATAAATACCTGTCATTCTGACATACATGAATGAGTTCACATATGATATAAATTATATATTATGAAATAAGTAAATACATTTCTCCCAGTGGGTGCCATTTCTCTTCACAGAAGGCTGAGGCTGTGATTGCCAGATAATGGAAAAGTATCAAAAAAAAGTAATTTATTTACAATATAACATCCTGTTAAACTTTAGCCTCATCTCTAGGTCATCTCTTCAATAGCAGTTTGGGTGGTATGCAGAACAGAAGGCGGTTGGCGTATGTGCTCACATTAGGGATGTTTTATTAACACAAACACAAGTCCACCGTTTTACTGTGCAGAGGCTGCCTAGCTTTTATAATACAGCAGGACCTTTAACTATCTCAATTTGATAAAATTTAGATAACCATACTTCTGCCAGCTTAGATTGGTAGAAGTACTGGCCCCAAATACTTTTGCGCCCTCAGGTATACCCATACCCTCAGATATGGGTGAGTAAAAATTGGCTAATGGTGCCACAGTCTTTGAAAACTGCCCCTCTGAAAATGGCAGTTGTTTTGTAACCATACACACAAATATTTAAAGCATATTCCACTTTTGTAATCCAATTTGAGAAAACTCCACTATGTTTGTATGTGTTGCTATTCCCACAACATGCCTACATATTTGAAAAATATTTCTTATCTTTCAGATGTTTCTCAGGACAAGGTGTCATGGCTGACTGTAAGCTTTTTTGAACAATAATTTAAGCACTGGAAGGTTTTAACACCTTCATGACCAGGCCATTTTTTGCTATTTAGCACTGTGCTACATGTAAACATCCCTTGTAAAAGAAATAGACACATGACTCTTTATAGAGGAGTCTGGGGTCTATAAGACCCCAAATTTTTCATCTGCACTTGAAAGCATGCAAAACACCAAAATTGGTGTTTCTGAATGCTTTCAGATTTTTAACCACTTCCCGCCCCCTGGCCAATAGTAAAATGACAGCTGGGCTGGACTCTCGTCGATCCAGGAGGGCGTCATATGACGTCCTTCCTGGTTCGTGCATTACGGGTGCCCGCAGAGCCTCTCTGTGGCGAAATCTGTCACCAGCTGTGTACCTCGGATACAGATCTGTGTACCGGCCCCGTTGCCAGTACCATGTAACTTGCTGTGGCCAATATCAGCAGATCACATGACAGTTGTAAACAATGGATGGCTTCCTTTCATGCCATCCATTGTATACAAGTGTGTCTAGCTGTGACTGTTCACAGTGATCACATGCACAGGCTGTGCCAATCACAGCCCATATTTGTCATGTGATTAGCCTTGGCCAATCACAGCTAATCACATTAAAAAAAACTGAAAATTAATTGATTTCATTCAGTTAAATGCTTGCTTATAGCAAATAAATTATTTGCAATAAGCAATCAAATTGTGTAAAAAAAAAAAAAAAAATACTGATCACTTCCCCAAAGTAGTACAATGTTACTATGGTAACATTATACTACTTGGGTCATAGTGTAATATGAAAAAAAAAAGAGAAATAAAAATTTAATAAAAAATAAAATAAAAAATGGAAAAAAAAAGATCTTTTCTTTTCCTACTGTCAGCACTCAGCATTCCCTAATCACTGCCACACCAGTTTTATGATGATGCTGTACTGCTGACAGTATGTAAAATAAAAACTTAGCTGACAGTATGTAAAATAAACTTGTGAAAATAATTTCTTTTAATTTCTTAATTTTCCAAAAAATTTACAAAAAAATTACAACTTCAAAAAAAAATTGCCATGCCTCTTATGAAATACGTTGACTGTCTACTTTGCGAAAAGGGGTCATTTGGGGGATATCTGTACTGTTCTGACATTTTTGGGCCTCAATAAATTAGATTGGCTGTCAGTAATTCAGGACTGATTAATTTTCAGATATATACCATAGTTTGTGAACTCTATAACTTTCCTACAGACTAAATAATAAATACTGATTCGGGTTATTTTCACCAAAGAAATGTAGTAGAATACATCTTGGCCTAAATGTATGAAGAACAATTATTTATTTGCAAGCTCTTATAACAGAAACAAAGAAAAACTTTTATTTTTCAAAATGTTGTCTTTTTTTTTTTTTGTTAATTTAGCAACAAATAAAAACCCCAGTGGTGATTAAATACCACCGAAAGAAAGCTCTAGTTGTGTGAACAAAATTATAAAAATTTTGTTTGGGTACAGTGTTGCATGACCGTGCAATTGTCATTCAAACTGTGAGAGCACTGAAAGCTGAAAATTGGCCTGCGCAGGAAGGGGGTAAACGTCTCTGGTATTGAAGTGGCTAAAAATAGCGCCGATAGTTTTAGTGTAAACCGGAAGTGATGTCAGATCATCAGGGAGATGATAAAACCCTATTTGTTCGTCTGGTTGCTCGGGACTCCCGGTGGGACACGAGGTCCCGAGAGAGCCACAGAAGGTGGCCAGAGGAGGGGAGTCCCCTTCCGCTGCTTGTACAAGCAATCGAGTGGCTAGTTAGCCGCTCTGATTGCTTGTACAAGAGATAAGACCACCGGCTCCAAAACGTACCAGGGTGATGCCTGCAGCTGCAGGCATCACTCTGGTATAACCACTGAAAGTCCAGCGACATACGGGTATGTTGGTGGTCTGGAGGTGATTATTACCATGGATTCTGGACTGTTCTATGCGATGTTACTGTGAACAAATGCCAAATTGTGGACCACGTTATTATATTTAGTACCAAAAGTTCAGTGAAATTTAAGCAAAGCAACACCTGACCTCATCATTGTCTTAGTGGAAAAAAAAAAACTATAATACAAAAGGA